CAACCAGCAATGAAGTAATAAAATGAACTAGGATCACACGTGCAGCACGTTATTATTCTGAGTTGCCCCACTCAAGCGGCGGCCATATTGAGTGGGGCACGTGAGATTAATAACGTGCTGGATTAGTGTGATCCTAGTTCATTTTATTACTTCATTGCTGTGCTGTATGTGTATAGGCCAATGTAGTGGGATCTGTATGTGCGTTATAATTAATCGAAATTAATCGATTTGAAAAAATTTCGATTAATTGAACACGGAAATTTTAATCATTACCAGCCCTAATTTCTTGTGATCCTCCATAGTATAGAATATATATGTGGCCCTGATGAACTTCCTCTTGTGTTTTTCCAGTACAGTGGCTTTTATGCTTTTTCGTTTTCTATTTGCTAGGTCACCTCATTCCTCTTGTCTCTCCATCTTCATCATTCCACCTAGCAGATGTTTCCAGTTGGCTTGCTGATTTCAGTGAGATCTGACAGTCTACACTCTCCCATCCAGTCACGATTTCAGTATGTCATTAATTGTCACTACCCTAACCCTTCCTAATGCCTCTCATTCTCCAGTTGCACAGTATCTCCCTATTCATAAGATGCACCCTGTCATGCCCTCCAAACCCTTGTAAATCCAAGTCCTCCTCCATCACTGCTCTTTTGTTTATTTACACTTGCGCTTCTCAGCTCCAGCAGCACTTTCCTGATACACTGATGCTAGGTGTCTTATAACTCCTATACAACTAGGAGTACATTTCACTTTCTTTACTGGTTGGCTCCTTCTGCTTAAATTTGCTCTGGTCCTTAAATTATCACATTACAGTATCCCATGTCCTGTGAATCCTGATTTGAATTGTGACATGTGTTTCCTTACTTGTATCCCAAACCATGCAAAATCCTGCTCTGAGGGGTCTACTTCAGTCTGTGGGTTCTTATAAACAGCTCAGTTGTTACCCAATCCTACTAAAACTAACAGGTTTAAAAACAGCAAGTGACTGACAAATAAATCCTATTAGACAAGAACCTCAGAAATAATTTAAAAAAAGTTAAGATATATTCAATACAAATAGCCTTTTAGCGTAGTCTGTTTTTCCTTAAATGCAGTGATCATTAGAACAGGATGTATGTACAAGCACAATGTGAGAATCTGAGAGAAGGGCCAGTGGCTTCAGTATTGTGATGTAACTGGGTAAACAGGTCTCTTTTCATTACACAGGGTGGATCTTCATTCTTTGTTCTAACAAACATAATAAAAACAGAAAATCAAAAAGAAGGCAATTGTTCCGAGGTAAGAACAATTTAAACTATTATATAATGACCTTGATTCCTCAACAGTGGTAGCACATGCAGCTCATGTGACGTGAGAAGCCAAAGCTACACTTTGTGATAATACTGTCTTGTCAGGGAAAAAAGTGTATTTGCTAGTAATGTGAGAACTTTTAGATTATTCTTTATTTATATTATTTAAAAAGAAGAAAAAATTAAGTATGCTTCTCTCCAAGCAATACCAGCTTCTCACGCCAAGCATACGGGTTGGTATTTCCTAAGCTAAACTTCCATTCTTACAATAAATGTTAAAGCTGAACTTTAGGTAGATATAGGACACAATTTATTGCTGCTCTGTAATAACTGATATGTTATGGAACCTATTTTTAAATGCAGGCAGTGTAAGTCAGTGGTGTATTTTGGTTTTGTGCTGCCCTAGGCAAGACTAAACCCGAGCACCCCCCCTCCCCCCATCCCAAATCTAAATTAGTCCCACCCCTTCCTGTTTAAGAGATTTTGCATAACCTGTCAGTTGCGGGATACAGCGTGCACGGTATATCTAGATTCTGACAGGTTGCGCTATCAACGTAGCGGGATGCTCAAGTTCTACCTTTGCAATAGCCACCTTCTCCATTTCTGGCTTGATGGGCTCCCTAGTTCTGCAGCTACAATAATCATTCTCTCCTGCCCTGCCATGCTGTGCTAGTCTCTAGTTCTGCAGCTGCAACACCGATCTTCTGCCTTAATATGCTGGGCCCTCTAATTCTGCACTTACCCATCTTCTGCCTTGGCCGCTGGCCTCTGTAGGTTGCCCCGCTCTAGAGACATAACCCTGCACGGAGCTTATAGGCTGCACTTCCTTGGTCTCACCACCACGGAGGTGCTGATGAGCACGGTGACCATCTGGATCTCAGCCCTGGGGTCCTGCGGAGATTTGGGTGCTGGTTTCCCAGGGAGGTCCGGTGCACGAACTGCCAGTGCATCCGGACGAAAGTCACACACACCAATACATTGCACAGCATGTAGACCAGGAAGAGGAAGCAGCTGCAGCCGGCATATATGTAGGAGTAGGCGGCATAGGTGGACACGTTGGTCCCCCAGTCAAAGAAGCACCAGGTCCAGGGGTACTGGCAGTAATTTATGAATCATTTATAATATGATTTTTTTTTCCCTCTTACCTAACTGTTTTGGGGGTAGCATTTTTTGGCGCCCCCCTGGAAAGTGCCGCCCTAGGCAAATGCCTAGTTTGCCTTGCAGTAGATACACCCCTGGTGTAAGTACCTAAAATTGACCTGGTGTGAGCCTCCTGTAGTCCATGCAGTGTGAGAGGAAGAAGGAGCACAAGGAACCAATAAGTGCTGCCAAGAAGCATGCTGATAGGAAAGGAAAGCAGAGTGACAGGGAGATGAGCTCATCAGTTTGCTGCTTCTCTTTTCACTGTCCAGTTATAGGCTGACCTGAAGGACCCAGAGAAAGTGGGTTGAATGATTCTGGCCATTAGACTGTGGACATCTAGTGGCAGAAAAAAAGTCATCTCTGAAGTGAAACTGAACACTGCAGCAAAAGCTTTGTATCTTGTTATTTTTGGATAGAATTCTGTTTTAAGGTTTGCTTACCCAGCTTTAGCCCTAGACATTTTTTCAACAAGATTTGGCAGACAGTATCTAAACTACCTTCCCCATGGGCATGGGAACATGTCAACTAATGCCCCATTTCTGACACCTACTCTGCCAAAGTAACCCAATGGCCTTCAGTACCTGTCAAGTGTTTTGTTGCTAAAAGGTAAATACATGGATTGGTATTAGTATGGAATAGTTCACAGCCTTCTAGCTATTGTAACCTAGTGGGTATTAGCCAATATGACTGGTCTACCTAGATGTTATCTCTTGGGGGAGCAGGAAGGCAAGAACCCCCTTCCCCCTGCTCCCCCCCAACAAAACAATTAAATCAGGAAACAAAATGAGTTTATAATTTACCACTGTTATATAACAGGAGCAATGTGAATCCCAAGGAGTAATAGCTTTTCCCAGTATGTATCTACTGTACCCAGATAATACCTTATTTATGTAATTCTAATAGGACACATTGCCCTTACATTCTGGTTTTTCCCATCAAGTAATATGGTGTAGGTTCATGCATGTTTTCACTCTGTTACTTGATGCACTTTAGTTTGAAAGGAATACCCTGCTAATTAAGTTGCAAAAGGTTGAGAAATACCTATATGTTTAATTCAGATTATAAGTAACATAAAAGAATGATTCTACATTGAAGTACACATTTTTCTACTTTGTAGTTTCCAAGCCCCAAAACAATATGTTCTCAAGCTGACAGCTGCAAAAAAGGTTATGCTGACCCACAGAGTAATGGTATGTTCTCTTTTTTTATATTAATGCCTTGTTAGAAATTCAGATGTTTAATTGTAAGATACCAGGCAGAGAAGCTTTACCAGGTCACAATGAACATGAATGCTTAAGTCTGTTGCATGGAAATGTATTTCTTAAGGCAAATGCAGTTAGTAAGAAAAATAATACTGAATGATTTAGCTGTAAGCAAGCAGCAGAAGACACCCACAGCTGTCAAACGTTGAAGAACAGTCATGGGACAGTGAGTGGACAGATTATGTGATTAGAGTTGTATGCATGTGTCCTTTTCACCAATAACTTATCATGCACAGTTGTAAGAAAGTTGGGTCTTGCAAACCATCCTCATAGGTCTAAAGCCATTATAAAGCATGACTGCACTTTATCAAAGTGCATGACACATTCCTCCTCTTGGACTCCACACCAGTATGTCTCTATAAGTCAGCATTCTGCTGTGCAACCTGCTCAGGATCACTACAGCCTATACTCCTTTCTGTCTTAATTTTGATTAAAATCAACAGGTAATAAAAGGAACTGCCATAGAGTATAATGGCAAACGCTGCACTTCCGTGCGCACAATGGCCGACTACCATTATACTCTAAGGCAGTTCTCTACTATCACCTGGTGTTGTAACCAGAATTTAGATGCATAGTCTGTGGTGGTCCTGAAAAGGTCATGCACTGGAAAGCCAATTTATGAAAGTATGGGGTCCTGTAGGTTATACTGGTGCTGAGGCAATAATGCACTTTGATAAATTGCACTTATCCTTATGAGGCCTGTCACATTTCTTGTTTGCCCTGATTAGTTCCACATTTCTAGAATAGTTTAACTTCAGTGTAGCAATTTTACTTTCAATAGATTTTTATTGAGTATTTTCAGTTTTATAAGACAAAAATGTAATAGTTTGAACAACAGGTCAGGTCCGGATAGGACCGAAGGAACAGAACAGAAACAGAAACATTACTTGCACTTAGCTCTCCAATCATGTGATGCCCACAGTCAATCTTGGGCTGAGTATATTTAGTATTTCCACATATGCAGTTACCAGAGGCAATATTCCTATATCATGCGACACTTCAAGGTTGTGGAGTGCCTTGTTGAGACCACAGAAACCAGGGGTTCCACTTCCTCAGAAAGCTTGCCATTGTGTTGTTGCTTTTTGCTAACACCCTTTCATATTCACCCTTTCATATTCTCAGTGTAGTTTTAATATTTGTAGGGACTCCGAGGTGTTGGCTGCCAGTGGGCTGTTCCAGTGTCTTGCTATCGTTAGTTTGGCCGCCAGGAGGATGTGGATTACCATACCTCTAAGGTGGGATGGGAATTGGTCTATCCCCAGGTGGAGCAGAGCTAGGCCAGGGGTAGGGGCAGAGAAAGAGCCAGTTATGGCCGACAGTATTTGAAAAATCTTATTCCAAAAGCTGGTGAGGGATTTGCAGGACCAATAGGTGTGTAGCAGAGTTCCCGGCAGGCCACAGCCCCTCCAGCACTCCATAGAGATCGCTGGAGACATCTTCGCGAGACAGGAGGGAGTCAGGTACCATAGTGTAGCAATTTTAAAAGAAGACTGCAGTTCAAAAACAATGTAGCTGCGATTGCTAACTAAGTCGCAGTAACGCATGGAGGTGTAGTTATAGCAGTGCACTCAGGCACGGAGATGTAGTAGTGCACTTATAAACAGGGGAGGGGCTGGATTCCACCCTCTCCGTTCCGATCTGCCAGCGCTGGGAGGGGGTGGGTACAGTTGGCTCTGCCTCTAGATAGGCAGATCCAGCTGTCAGTCACGCAGCTGGGCGGATCCCGGCATAATTGTCGGGATCTGCTTCAGCTGCGGCATCTCAGTATACCGCGAGCAGCAGCTCGCGGTATACTGCGGCGTCTCAGTATACCGCGAGCTACAGCTCGCGGTATACTGAGCCTAGGGTGACAGGAGGATGCTAGTTTGTGTCCTCCCGTTACCCTAAGGAGAACTATGGGGAAAAGCCTTAACCCCATAGTTCTCCTTTAAATGGAGATGTGTTCATAGTAGTACGCTGAAGTAGGGAAGTGTGAATATAGTGGTACCCTGAAAAAGGATATAGTAGTGCACTGAAGAAGTAAGGTGTATTAATAGTAGTGCACTGAAGTAGTTAGTAAGGTGTAGTAATATAGTAGTGCACTAGAGGTGTGGGCGGTGTGGTTAATGGAGAACTATGGGGTTAAGTCTTTTCCCCATAGTTCTCCTTAGGGTAATGGGAGGACACAAACTAGCGTCCTCCCATCACCCTAGGCTCAGTATACCGCGAGCTATACTGAGACGCCGCAGTATACCACGAGCAGCTGTTTGCGGTATACGGAGACGCTGAAGCGGATCCCGACAATTGTGCCGGGATCCGCCCAGTTGTGTGACTGACAGCTGGCTCTGCCTATCTAAAGGCAGAGCCAGCTGTACCTGCCCCCTCCTCCGTCCGTTCTGCCAGTCAGCGCTGGCGGATCGGAGCGGGGAGGGGGGAATCCCGCCCCTCCCCTGTCACGGCAGAGAGCCGTGACAGGATCGAGAGGTGAGCGAACACCGGTATATGTTCGCTCACTTCCCGATCTACTGAGCCGACCTGTGACCGTCTCATTGTCACAGGTCGGCTAGAACTATGAGGTGAGTGAAAATCACTCACCTCCTAGTTCTCCTTTAAGTATGTGGTTGTGTTCTGAAGCAGGGATATTTGGTTATAGTAATACTCTGTAGTGGAACTAAAGTACACTGAAGTGAAGCTGTTGAGTTATAATAGTGAACTGAAGCAGTGAGGTATACTTATAGTAGTGGGCCATAGCGGGATAGTGTTATTATAGTAAAGGACTAAAACAAGAATATGAAATTATAACTCAAACCACTTTCTATAAAAGGGTGTGCTCACAACTGTCATACTGTCAGCATGTTGGACCTACTAGGGAGAGCTTACAGTTCTTTCTAGGAAGAGACACTTTTTTTTTTCATTTTTCATTTTGGCATTGATACATGTCCCCCATGGGAGTTCCCAGCCTCCCATACCTTTTTGATAATAGTTTGTGTATTAGCCCTACAAATGGCCAGGAGTGAATAACAAGAGTCACCCCCCTTCCTCCATAGACTTCATTGGGGTGCACTGCAAATGTATTATTACAAGTATTTATATAGCACTGACGATTTACAAGGGACTTTACATACTAAATATTCACATCAGTCTTTTCCCTCAAGACGCTTACAATCTAAGGTTCCTATGTTACATACATACATACATACATACATACATACATACATACACACTAGGGCCAGTTTAGACAGGAGCCAGTTAACCAGGGCCGGTGCTAGCATTCTTGCCTACACAGGCAAGGTGCATTTTTGCAAGATTCAAGCTAGGAACAAGTATCTAAATCCCTCCATGTGTCTTAGGGATATTATAAAAGCGAGTCTCTTGTCACAGTAGTGGTTATGTTTTTATTTTTAATTATAATAGGGTTATTTAATGTGGCTACTTAAGATATGAATAGTGTTTGAGGGGCTATAAAAAAGTGGCCATCAAGCTACAGATAACAGAACATACATTGTCTGTGGCAGGTGTTACATTTAAATCTCTTCACTTGTATCTTGCAGGCATTCAAACAGGCAGATGTATACAGTATAACTCCACCGTTAAAACTTGTGAAGTGAGAGCATGGTGTCCGGTGGAGTCCAAAAGTACTCCAGAGTAAGTAGTCTATTTACATGCCTAGTCAAAAACAAACATAAACCTGAGGACTGAAAGAAATGCCTAGTCAAAAACAAACATAAACCTGAGGACTGATAGAAAAAAAAAATATTTTTCTTTCAGTTCTTTGTAGACACCCTCTTATCTACAAAAATGTGTGTGTATCTGTATATATATATATATACAGTACACACACACACATATACATATTGCAGTAAATGTAAAGTCATGTGGGCAAACGAAAGAACTACCCTTGCACTAAGACTTGCCCCCACACTGCATAGGGCTTATTTATACCTAGACGACAGGCTCCTGCCATCTCCTCTCGGGTTGCTAGACCAATCCCCACAGCCTCTTCTCCCCTCTTCACTCGGGTGGGCTAAGGACTGCTGACATCATCACATCTATTGCAGGTTCCATAGACCTGCTTTAGACATGAAGAATCTGTACTTCGGTTCCTTAGGCATGAATGAGCACCTAACCCTTGCAGTGTGAGGGTAGCCCCACAGCAAGGGCAGTTTTTGGTTTGCCCAGAGATGGTCTTTGATTTTTTTGTTGTGTCTGCTGCTGCCCTATTTGGTAATAGTAGAAGTATTTTATTATATCTGCAATGCAACCACAATAGTGCATTGTGTGTGCTGTACTTGTCAAACAGAAATGATCCCTCTGCACAATAGAATATGTGTTCCTATAAAATATAGAAATTCCAGCATATTCTTACCAAGTTCCAAATCATGGCTGAGTGTATGTTTCTCTCATGATGAGTATGTATTTACTAATAGGTATGTTTATTTCCATTTCTTTGGAAAACTCAAACAGTGCACTTCTTTGTGTTCGCTGTAATAATATATTATTACTAAATTTCATAGGTAGGTGGATTGACATTTCATATCTCTGATCTTATTCTAGCAGCGTTCTTGTATCCTTTCCCTGATCTAAGATAGTGTACATATTGCCATTTCTTTAGCTCCAAGTTTATTACCGCACAAGGCATAAGGACAATTTTAGAATATCAATATCTGTAGAGCAAACTGCATCCTACAAGAACAATAAATTATGCTCCAGGTACCTGTTTGTGGACAATATATGTATAATTGTAAGACATTGCAAGGTAAATAGTTTAGCTATGTTAGCAAAATCATAGTTCAGTGATGAAAGAATATACAGCTAATCCCTAACTGTCTACCAGGCAGCTGCTTGTAAAAAGCAGAATGCATATCTAGAGGAATCATTAATGCTACCCTTTGCTATACCCTTTTTATTCTGACCGGCAGCTCATTGGGGACACTTGATTCTAATTTTCATGGATCTGAAATGGTGGTAAATGTAGGAGTGAACATACATGTGTACATTACATTACATTGGACAAATCCGTATTTTCCTTTCCCGGTGTTATGTTTATAAACATTCTCAATCTCACCTGTTACTCACAGCTTGGATACCCACTGACAATCAGGAACCAATGAGTATGGGTTCCAATCATGTGGTCACTATGTTAGCTACGACAGTGATACATGCAGGCTGGGGGCTTCATTGAAAAAAATAAAGGCTGTCTTCCTATGGATGAACATTGTGACATTTAGGCTGCAGTGTCAGTTTTCAGTGCCATACGTTTAAAGTGTACTTCCACTTTTGCAGCCAAATTAGGGTAACACCTACATTATATAGGTTACATGTTCCTATTCACATAGCATAACTTAAAAAACATCTAAAAAATGCTGCTCACCATTTTACTTGCTTAAAAATCCTGCCTAGCTTTCCCCTTCTATGTAATGTTATGGAGGGGGCGGGGGAGTTATGTTTACTGTAATTAACCCTGTCTGTACTGTGCTGTCAGATCTCATTATCAGTTGTAAATTAGATGTGTACACTACCTGTTTTAACAAATGGTTGAAGATGCACATATATA